ATGTTTCGCGAAATACAACTTTATATTAATGATAATAATAGACAAAATTATAGGATATTCTGAAAATTATGGAAATAAGCGTATGATATTGAATTTATAGCAAATAGGATTATACAGGGTGTTCAAAAAAGCATTCAATATTTACATGATTTATAGGGCACAACTGTACGGAGTAAAAAAGTCTTAGTAAACATAGGTCAAAAAGTCAACTGTTCTGAGATATAAACATTTCTGTTACTTCAATATATATAAATTGCATTCTGAATGTTCTCATTCAATTGCCAATGATAGATTTCATCGAAAATTAGTTTGAATCGGCGATTGTGGATCTTATTAGTATTACATGGTTACATCAATATTATGCAGTTGTTATAAATCATAATGCTAGCAAACATAAATGTTTATACCTCAGAAACGGTTAATCTTTCGACTTGCGTTTACTAAGGCTTGTTTTCTCAATAGTGTGTTTTACATACCATATAAATATTGAATGCCATTTTTTAATCACTCAGTATATGAAATTAGGATCGTGAGACGTTATTGCTTAAAATAGAGGAAATGTAATTACCCCATCACAAATATTAACTTAAATTGTTTAATAGCATAGCAATTTTATTCGTAGATCAGCATGTTATCTTGTGTAATATTGTTAATGTTACGATCCCGAAATTATTCTGTTTCAGTTTAAAGAAATAAATAGAGCGCATACTATATTAACAGATTTGACAAAACGTAACATATACGACAACTATGGATCTCTTGGATTATATGTTGGTGAACAATTTGGTGAAGACAATGTTAATGCTTACTTTGTTGTTACTTCTGGATGGTGCAAGGTAAGTACGAACTACTAATTTTTATATTTTTGCATAAACTAATGCAGTTGAATCAAACTATTTATTCCAAATAATATACAAAGAAAGTTTAATAATAATCCTAGTTATACAGTTCTCTTTGGAATTATTTACTTTACAAATACTTCTTACACTCACTGTAAGTTAAAGTTTTATCTGTGTTACTTGAGAAGTATAATTTTTAACTGTTTATAGCCTACGTAATAATCAATTTGTCTTGAATACAAAATAATTCAAAGTAATTTTAGCTCTTTCCTTGTGGTCTTTTTTACTGTCAAGGTTCTGCTGTAGACAAATATTATGTTAAATTTTTATGTTTCACTTCCTATAACATTTTTTTTACTTATAAGGAAATGATTAGAAAAAATTAATGGCTTGATACATTGTTGCAGGCACTCGTCGTATTTTGTAGTTTGATAACTGCATGTTTCTGCTGCTGTTGTTGCTGCTGTTGCTGCAACTTTTGCTGCGGCAAATGCAAACCAACACCGCCAGAGTGCAGTGGAGCATACCACAATCTTCCGGTAAACTTTATATCTTATTATTTAGTTGTAAGGTAAACAACTGTACTTAAATCCACTAAAGGTATGAAAGTACACATATTTTATGCATACTTAAAAAGTGTACAATCTTTATCCTCTGAGTTTGATGTACCATTAAACTAAAAAATTTGTAAAAAAGCTAGACATTAGAGAAACAATTTATTTTATCAATGGAGATCTCAATTTAATGGATAAAGTTACTCTCTGAAAATTGAAAGCTATTTTAAAAACCGTTAAAGATAAAGATATAGGGTGAATGACAAACTTTGGAAAATAAAATAGAATCCTCATTTTAATTTTTATAGTTCTGATAATAATAACTAAAACCAATATGTATTCCGAATTTAAGTGTATTGAAATACATAATTATTGAATTTAGAATTGATTACATATCGTTTTTAGTTATCATCAGATGGGTAAAATTTAAAATAGGTTAAGTTAGATTAGATTTTATTTATTGCTTGTTGTTTGCATAGTGTTCTACTGATTCCTTGATTTATTCTCCCATGTAGAAGGACTCAATTTTAGGCTAGACTTTAGAAAGTTTGCTAGTTCTTAGGGTAGAATTTAAAATAGAAGACATCAGTCCACGTTTCTGTACAATTTCTTAACTTTTTAGGGAAATTTATCTGTAATAATTTATGGGATAGTTTCAATGATACTAATTTTCAGTGAGCAGTTTCGTTAATTATTTTATTTTCATTGACAAAATAAATCTCTCTTGTTGTTAGTTTCTTTACAAGCATACAGGAGGTGCATTCAAGCGAAGAGAGATAATCGTGTTACATATCTTCTTACAAGAGAAAATTCTCCAGTAAAAATTAAAAAAATTATAAAAATAATGTGGGATATATGTACAGTAAATACTCCCTAATTCGCGCTCAGATTGTGCCCAAAAATGGACAATTTGGGAAGAAGAGATAAAATTATTCGAGTCTTGCGGCTCGTTTTAATAGTTATCGATTGTCAATAACTATAAAAACGAAACGCAAGGCTCGAATAATTGCAAATCCTCTTCCCAAATTGTCCATTTTTGTGCGCAATCTGAGCACGAATTAGCGAGAGATTAATGTATATGTAGATCATATGATAGGGTTAGGTCAGGGTCTTACAAAAATTGTAAGAATTTTATATTATCTATGTATTATATGCACATTTTGAAAGTGTCCAGAAGGTACTATTTTGGCAACCTGTATTACAAATTGTACTAATTTGAATCTAGAATCGTAATTCATTAATATTTGAAATGGTAAAATTTTGTTTTTGAGGTAATAAAGCATTAAGAACAATGTACAGTGTGCCCAAAAGTTCCGAGGCGGTCCAATATTTTGAAAACGGGACATTTGAGAGAAAAATGTTTCATAGTTTTAGGGTTTCGAATGTTCCATTAACTGCATATATTCAGCTGACCCTGATTGGTAGGGTTAGTTACATAAAAGTGAAATTAATTTTTTAAAAATAGAACACGCAGTTTCTGGTCATGCAGTATTAAAACTGATTTCAAGATGTTTCAAAAACATTGCAATGTGGCCTACTTCTTTTGAGGATTAGCTGAATTATAATCTTTAAAAAATACAGTGTCGCCATCATTAGCATTATCCAGCGTGCACTGTGTGGAGGTTGCATGGATGGACTTTATACTCGCGGCACGTAATTTATAAAGATTATAACTATACATATACATATAGATATACATATACATACGTATAACTATCTTGTAATCAATTTTAATACTGCATGATCAAAAGTTGGGTGTTACATTTTAAAAAATTGTGTTGACCTCTATGAGACCTTGACCCTTCCACCAGAAGTCAATTGAATATATTCTGTTAATACAATATTCGAAACCCCAAAACTTTTGTCTGAAACACATTTTTCTAATATGTCCCGTTTTAAAATGTTAGACCGTTCCGGGACTTTTTTGACATACTCGAAATTCTACTTTAACAAAGACAAAACCTTTCCATGATAATTTGAATATGTTTTTTTAAATATAAACGTTACAATTTTCTGCATTATTTATTAAAGCGTTTATTGTTCTTTGCATATTTTTCTCATTCCACTGGAAAGAAAAAAATGCTTCGAATTCTTCGTAAAATTTGACCACTTGAATTGCACCAGAATAATTTTAGAAAACATTTCGACACCTTATGAGATATTTTATTTATTCTCGAAATAAATGAAGTAATGTAATAAAGAATAATAAAGTAATGTAAACAAAGAATACATAAGTTATATAAAACATACACAAAATCTAATTAAAACATTGACATTGGATAAAACACATATGCCTCATTCAAGTTTTTGACTTTGGTAGGATGATGCGAAAATACATTATTGATATTTTCCAATATGTGTTTCAAAATAAATGTATAAGACGTTATAAATGTTATAACAAACATTTCACAAATTTATAAAACGTAGATGTTTTTATCTTTTCATAAAATTACACAAACTAATTTTAGTAAAACTTATGTGAGGCGTAACCTTTTCTATTATGTGGTAAATGAACTACGATTTGGGATACAAATCAGTGCGATTTATGATACAAGTAGCGAAAATCTTACGGCATTTTTAGAATCAGTAAAAAAGAAATAAGTTTTTACATAAATTATTTTCTTGAAATTTTGGAGTAAAATATTATTATATCATTTGATCAATATACGTTTCTAAAAAAATGAATACCGAATTACGCCGTGGGCCCAAAATGTCTTACATGATAGAATATTAGCAACTTTGACGTATATCAGAATAAAGTATAAACAAATTGCGCGGTTTCAGGAATGACCCAGTTAATATTAAGAACATTGTCCAGCAAAATTTAACTATTTTCAGATTTCTAATTGTGAGTAGGCCTTTCTGACAGGTTTTTGTCAGCTGTGTTCACAATTATACATTTTTCTGAACAAGCTTTCAAATTGAAAATAACTTTTGTAATTTAACAGTAGTGATACGTATACAATGCAGCTCAGCTAAAAAAGACCACCTAAACATCATTGTTATTTTTAGAGATGCTGAAAAACTTTGTTAAAAAAGTTGTTCAGGTCATCAGGTCATCTATGCCGATGCTAAGGTTCGACAGAGTCAGTGAACACGTGTGTTGTGGCACGCGCCGCGATTTCTTTGACTCGAATTCTTGGAACACAACTAATACATATGTCAATACATTGACATAACTTTTTTTAATTTTAACATTTCTGATTAAAATGAGACTAAATATGATATAGTTTGGACAAATATTTCTAATTAAAATAAAATCAAACAGGATATGTATAATTTTGATTACATTTATTTACTTAATACTTAATGTGTAATTTTGCTGAATAGAGCCATCGAAGCAAATTGTCTTTTACTTTGATAATTTTTTTATTGCTTTTGATTTGATTTTTTAATTGCCGTTGTTATGCCGTAAAAACGATTCAAACAAAAGTGACGAGTTGACTCTTGTCCACACAGGAAAACGAGGGTTCGGTTCCAGCCCTTGTCTTTCGTCACCATATTTGCAACCAATTCGTAGCGCTATCGGCGCTAAGTTTTGAGAATCTCTATCTAAACAGTGTCGTTCTTCCTCGATGTTCGATCTCTTAAAATTCCAGGGTTGATGGCAAAAGTACAGAAAACTGTTCCTTCACACTCTCTGTTAATCGCGTAGGCTTGTTCTCAGACTGTAGTCGAATCGAGCCATGTCCTATCCTACCATTGTCTAACTGAACCATGGTCTCTTCCATCCGTCATCTAACTCAGCCATGGTCTCTTTCTATCGTCATCTAATTCAGCCATGTCTTTTCCTTTTCAACCATTGTCGAATGTGTAAACTTGAATAGCTTAACTTCACTGATATTTTCTTTCGAACGACATACATACCTTCTTTGATGTTGTCTTTAATATTTCATATGTAAAGAATCGGGTTTTCTAATGCTTTTCTCGCAAATAAAATAAGTTATTTGCTACGTATAATGAATAAGTATGGTCTAAAGCATGTGGTGTTTGATATTATTTTAATTGGAAAAATCTGACCAATATATTAAAAAAATGTTCGAGTACAAAAAATTAGAAATAAAAAAGTTAAGTCATCGTCTTTATTCTAGTATTACAATGTATTTATAGCCGGAATTCAACACCGGCTTTCTAGGACTGACTGCTTACAATTCGGACCCGGCGGCAATCGGAGAGAAGTCACTGTAATTTGTTTGCAGCTGGTGAATTTTTGGAGATTTTGGTCACCTTCACTTTTTTAATTAGAATCATATATTTTTATACATTTGTTGATATAGCTCGACATTTTCCATAAAGAAGTATTGATCTGTGTACATACGTCGAAAAATCATTAGTTTAGCAGATATTTTCACCTTAATCTTGTGAATTTTTGATGTGGATCATGCTATGTCTAAAAGTGCACATTATGTACATTAAGGTCTTCACAATTCATAAGTGTACTTTCATCAGAAAATAATACTAAATTTAAAAACAAACTATTGCTTTAAATTTTAGACTGAGTCCATCTACAATATTCCATGTGTTTCGCGAAATCAACATAACTCAGTTCTGGAGTAATATTACGCTGACGTGCAATTTGACGCGAACTATTATAAGATTTTCAATTACACTTTGAAATACATTAAATTCATGTTCTTTGATCAGTAAGCAGATTCGGTGTACGTGATCATAAAAAATCTTCACTTATCATATACATTCTTAAAGCTTTTACGCAATGTTGGCAATGATCTGGACATCGTTCAGCATGCAACATTTTAGCTTTTACTGAAATTTCCAACTTTCACAGTAAAATGTCAATCATATAGAATTGCTCTTCTAACGATCTTCGTCTTGTACATACTATTATTGCAATTTCATTCTTAACATGATGACTATCGCGATTCTCATCAGAATTTTAGTAGACAATGCGTTCAAGAACAAGTAAATACTATATTATTTACATAGCAATTGTACAATTATGCCTTTACGAATCTAGCGTAACGATA